TATTATAGAGGGTCATCTATTTATAGATAGACCCTTTTTAATTTTGAAGTTTTTAGTTGGGGGCTGATAATGGGACATTCGGAGAAAGCCCTCCTCGTTGATATGTCCCGTGTCAGGGTTAGGTTAGGTTTTTGATGGGTTATTATTATAGAGGGTCATCTATTTATAGATAGACCCTTTTTAATTTTGAAGTTTTTAGTTGCGGGGTGGTTATGGAGTAAGTCTCCTTGTTAGTGTGTCAGGGTTAGTGTTAGGGTTAGGATTAGGATTAATTCTTCAATTTTGAAGTTTTTAAAGGTTTTGGTTGCGGGGTATTAATGGAGTAAGTCTCCTGTTGGCGTGTCCCATGATGCTAAGTCAGGCCACTGTTGGGGTTATTAATTTTGGAGTTTTTATGGGTTTTAGTTACGGGGTGTTAATGGGATATACAGAGAAAACATATAATTAAGTTCGTTACAACGTAATAAAATAAATCATTGTATATTTTATAAAGCGACTAATAAAAATATAAAATTTTTATTGCATCCATATTGGTTAATAATTAATATATAAAAAATTTATTTTAGTAAAGGAAAAGATATGCAATAAAGCCTATTTTATATTCCATTTGTCAGAAAAAATTTACGTGATCTTCATTTATTTTTATTGTATACTTATTACATTTATTAATTAATTAATAAATATAAATTTGAAAATTAAATATTATTTCTATAATGTCATTTATTAAAATTAATCCTATTAATATGAAAACTATTTAGTTAAAATAGTAATTTTTTAGTTTGCTTATTAAAAATTTAAAATATATTATTTTAAAATACCAAATCATAATAAATTTTAATCTTAAATAAAATTATTATTATAATTTAAATTTATAATAAAATAGTTATTTATTAATTTTTATAATTTAATATATAAATCACATGTATAATTGAAATTGATTTGTATTTGAAATTTACAGTTAACTGAGAACAATCATGATAAATAACTTATAATTTATAATCTAATCTTTTAAAATAAATTATCTGAATTAATCAAATCTATCAAAATTTTTATTAAAAAAAAGTATTAAAATATTAATATTATAAATAAAACTAAAAAAATAAAACTAATATTATTAAATTATTAAAAAAAAAGGTTAAAAATAAAATAATAAAAGAAATTTAAATATAAATTGATTATTTTAAGAGTTTTTAATTATCAACTATATATGTTAAATTTTTAATTTTATATTTAAATTATTATAATTAAATAATTAGTTTAATATTCTTAGTTTAAAAATATAAAAGAAAATACAATTTAAATCATTATAAAAATAAAATTATATATATATAAAAAATAATTTTTATTTATTAATTTTCTTTTTTATTTTTACCTAACTGTAATTTTTCTTTTGTTAGATAATTATAATTTTTTTTTTCAAAAATATATATTATATTAATATTTATCAATTTTTTACTTAATTCTAATAAGTTTTTCTTTTCACAAATAATAACAAACAGTTTTTATATTAAAAAGTATACTACTTCTGGTAATACTCTGCAATTAATTTTTATTTAATATAAACTATAAATGTATTTTATAAATAATAGTAATAAATTATATTTTAATTAAAATTTTAAGTTATAATTTTTCATTATAATTAAGAATATTTTTATTAAATATATATCTTGATTTGTTACATTATACATAAAAAATAAAACCATAAATATAACTATTATTAATTATATAATTTCTTTTAAAGAATTGAATAAATTTTATAATTCTTATTTATTTTAATTTCATATAAATTATTAAATTATTAAATTTAAAAAAAAATAAAAGTTATATCAGTATTAATTATTAAATCTGAAATAAAATAAAATATAATTTATTAAAAATTCTTTTAATAATCAAATTAGTAAAAAAAATATTATATATATATAAATTAAAAATTATAATAAATATTTAAATTACATATCTTAAATTTTATATATGAATATAATAATAAATTTTAATAAAATTTTGAAAATTTTAAATTTGCTTAATATATTTAATAATACTTTATATAATTTTAAAGTTTTGTAATTAAAAATTAAATTAAATAATATTAAAAAATCAAATTTTTAAAAAAATTTTACTTCAAATAATTTATCAATTTATATTATATAAGTAAATTTATAATACTAAAAGTTTTTTTATTAAAGGATAATTCTTTCTTTTAATATATCTTAAATCTTTTTAATAGACTCTTATAATTAAAGATGATCATCACAATTAAAAAAATGGTACAATTAAATTGCAACTTGTAATGCAATTAAATTTCCTTATGGTGTAATTAAATTACAACTCAATTGAAACTTGAAAATAATTATAGGGATCATCTTTACTTATAATTGAATTAATATCTGTATAATTTCTTTAGCTACCTAATATATTTTTTTAATATATTTTACTTTTAATGATATTCTCTAAAATATTATCTATTTTATTATATTTTAATAATATTTCTTGTAATACTAAATTTAATATTAATATTATATATTTTACAAGATTTATTCAATTATAATATAATATAATTCTAATGCTAGATAATTAAATTATTTTTAAAAAAAAAACTTATTAATAAAATTTATATAATTTAAAATTACTTTGTGATTAAGATCCCTATTTATATTTAATAATAGTATTTTAAATATATTTCTTAATATTACTTTATAATAATATTATAAATTTTAATAGCATATTATATTATTATATTAAGTTAAAAATTATATCTTTATAAACTTGATAGTTTCAAAAACTGTTATTAAATCTGAAGTTTATCATATAATTAACAACATAAAATAATAGATATATGATATACTAATAGTTAAAATTTAACCTTTAATTAAATAATTAAATAGTAAAAAATTAAAAAATTATTAAATTATTAAACTAATAATTATATAATTAATAAATTTAATAAACTTTTAAACTATAATAAATATCTAAATTATAATAAATAATAAGTTAATAAATTAATTTTATTAATAATAATATAAAGTTTTTTTTTTAAAATAAATCAATTAAATTAAAATAATAAAATTTAATTTACTATATTCTACTAATTTTAAGCATTTTATTTTTAAAGAAAAATCAATCAAAATTTTAAATGTTACTTAAAATTAGAAAGTTTTATGTATTACTTTATTTATACAAATATTTGTAATTTTTTTTCAAAAAAAATAATTTTATATCCAAAATATTTAAAGAGAAATAAAATAACATTTTAATAAAAATATTTTAATTTCTTTTATAAACATAAAGCTTTTGCAATTTATTTGATAATAGTACAAATAAATTATATGCCTAATACTAACTGTAAATATAATTCATATGAGCTATTAATATATTATTATATAGAATTATAGAGATAATATTTTAACATATATATTACTTATATGATTTAAAAAAAGAAATAAACCTATGTGATAATTCAGTTTATGAGTATACAAATGTCTTATAATTCTCTTGGATAACTATCAGAGAGATAATTAGACTCATCATTAGTAAACTTTTCTCTTATATCTTCTATCATAATATAATAATAACTTATATTATATTTGTCATATTTATTATATTTATTTTATCTCATGATTACTAATAGTCACCTATAATTTTTTATATTGATATTTTAATACTAGTAAAAATATCAAAGTTTATTTTAATGCAGATCATTAACATTTAATTATACAGTATATTATTATTTATAATACAAATACATTTTACAATTTAAAAGTTATATTATTAAAATGACAATTATTAAAAATAGGAAGTTTCTTTTGAATATCATTAGCAAAAGAAAATTCTGATATTGTAGTAAAAATTAAAGAAGGAATTTCTGATTGAACATCAACATTTGCATTTTTACTTGTAAGAATTGATCTTAATAGGTTTATAGCATTAATTAAAGTATCTATAATAGCAAAATGTTATTTTTTATTCACTTATTTATATGCATGAATATCTTGAATACTTTTGTAACCTGTTACTCCTATTATAGCATCTTTTGAAACATTAGTATTCTAAAGAATTTGAGCAACAATTTTATAACTAAAATGGTTTGTTAAAAAACTAAATGATAATTCTACTTTAATAGACTTTCTAATATCTTTTATAAAATTTCTACTTTATTACTTCTATAATGTGTTTGTTTATATCAAATATCAATTTCATGCCAAAGTGGATTAATATATAAATAGAAATTTTTAGAAACATCACTAAGATGTTTAGACAAATATTTTTTAATATCATTAGTTGATTCTGAATTTGAAGGAAGATAAATATTCTGTGCAACTCCTCCTTTAATTCTACACTGATTGTTTTTGCTATAATAATGGCAAAAAAGTAAACTACCATTAAATAGAAATTAAAATTAATCTATATGAAGATTATAATATTTATCATCATGAAATGTAAAATTAGTTGCAATTCAAAAAAATACATGATATAAAAGACCTTCAGAGGTATTAGGATTAAGAAAATTATTAGTAAGTATTTCTTAAACTTGCTGTATAGTCAATGCTATTAATTTATCTTTTTCACCAAATTCTTTTTCTTGCAAATCTTTCATTTGCCATGTAAAACAGTAAATAAATCTGAAAACTCATATTTATTATGTAAATTAATTCTGTGTATAAGAGAAACTTTTACCAAATGACAATTAATAGCATTAACAGCTTATTTACTGAATTTGCTTTATATTTATCAGATATTTTTTTAGTTATTTGTGCAATATATTCACAAACTTGTTATTCAATTAATTTGGAATCTGTAATCTCCTCAAATGATATAGTATAATTTTGCAAAATTTTTCAAATTTAGCAACCTAATTTTAAGTTAATTTTTCAGTATTAGATACCATAGCTTTTTGACGATAAAAATTAAGCTTTTCTTAAATTTTAGATATTTATGAAGAGGAAGAAGAATTCAAAGTATCTTGAATAGAAGTTGTAATCTCTGGTATCTTTTGAGAATGATAGAAAATACTTATATTAGTGAAGAAGGGTTAAAAGTTTTATGAAGTCTTTGTTCTTTATTGTCATGTTTTTGAGGCATTTTAATTTTTTATTTTCAAAAAAAGAGTAAAAAAAAGAGAGAAAGAAAGTATGGGAATTTTATAGCAAAATAAATATTTTATAATGAAATAAATTTTTCATAGCTAAATAAAATAAACTTTTAATAAACTAAAATTTTTCATCACAGGCATTAGTCTCTAGGAAATAAAAAAGTTATTTCATAGTGATCACATAGATATCATTGATATTTTCATAGCATAGCTGTAAAATCCAATAATATCTATTGATTCCTATAGAATAACTAATACATATTTATTATTATCTAAATCATCTGAATTATCTGATACCAAAATAATTGTTATAATTACAATTACTATTATCATCTACATTTTCTGATATTTTTAGTAGTTCT